GCTGCGGCAGGTTGGTCACTACATGGGGTGCACATCAGTTTGGCATGGAGGGATTGGGCGCACGTCACGGTAGGCCTCAGGTTCCCACCACGGTGAAGGCTGGCACATTGATGTTGGCCCAGTCGGAGAAGGACCTGCAGCACGCGCGTTAATGGGGAATGGGGTGTGGCTGCGGGGTGAGGGGAGGAGGGGCTCACTCGCTGCATTCTTGTGCATACGCCCACCGCCCACCTCCAGGCTGCTAGTAGGTGGCGGCAAGCCCTTGCCCCCATACCACCAGCATGTGCTGTCCACCCGCCCCGGACCAGTCGGCGTCGGCATTGGCTCACCAGCTGGATCCAGAGTCGATGCTGAACACATAGCCCAAGTAGGAGGACCCCTGGGTGGCAACAAAACTGGAACGAAGGGCACAACCAAGGAAACTGACAAAGGGGCCGCCCCCGGTTAGCGAGAAGACGGCGGCATAGGTGGTGCTTGGGCTGATTTTCCAGTCGATGCCGCCGATTCCGAGGTTCCAGTCGTCAAAACTGGGACTGTTCAGAAGCCAATTGTACCGCTGGACCTGAGAGTACAGCGGGGCCCCCGTTGGCTTGTTGGAAAAGTCCACCAGGTAGAGCGAGGCAAGGATGTCGTACGTGCCGACCGCCATGCTCAGGTACATGCCAAACTTGGTGAGCGCCCTTTTTCCTAGTCCAGGCGAAATGAACACAAAGCCCACCCACTGGTTGGCAGAGACGGTGTGCTCGTCGCCCGGCATCCCCCCGCACGCGGCAAAGATGCCACCAGGGTTGGAAGCGTTGTTGATGGCGCTGGCGTAGCCGTTGTTGTCGATGATGAAGCTGCCACAACAACGGGTTGGGGTTGGGGTTGGGGTGGGAGCGGGGTCGTCAATGGAGATGGAGGGGCACCACAAAGTTAGCGCTGCCAAGCTCAGCGCCCACTCACGGCTGGAGTGGAGGAGGTCCCGGGGGCGGTGGCGACGGCGGCGGTGGCGGCGGCGGCGGCGGTGCCTTGGGCGAGTCTCGCGGGATGACCGTCCACACCAGCAGCACCGAGGAGTTCTTGGCCTTGGGGTACATGCCCAGACGCGGGTTGCCACACTTGCCCTTGGCACCTTTGGGCGCCGCCAGGGCACCCAGATACTGCGCGCGGCAGTTCGCGGCCCCCTTGCCGCGCGACTGCAGCATGCAGCACCGGCGGCGGCTGTCAGAACACTAGGTGCAGGCCTGCGCTCCCCATGCATGGAGCCTCGCCAGAAGAGCACCAAGCAGGCGGGCTCACCGCCGCGCGGATGTAAAACTGGCCATGAGCGCCTTGGGGCTGGCCAGCCACGGCCGGGGCCCGCTCCAGCACGAAGAAAGTCTGGCCTCCCATCGCCGCTGATGTGCGAGTGCACCTGGAGGGGGCAGCCAGAAAGCTGCGGGGCTTGCAGGCGCCCTTGCCGCCCGACCGTCCCACCAGCTGCGGCAGGCAGGCGTGCAGCGGGGGAGTGGGTGTCAGCAGGAAGGGGACGGGGTGTGCAGTGGCAGTGGCTGGCTGGGCCTGGCAGGCACGGGCAGCCCAGTCCTACGGCAACATCATGTGGTGAGGATGATCCTCACCCACACCTGGAAGGAGGAGCGCACGCCCACCAAGTCGGCGGGGCTGCCTGAGCCTGGGGCGGGCTTCATGCGCCAGGTGGCGCGTTGCGCGCTTCCCGTCTGCAGCATCACCAGGCTGTCGGTTCCCCTGCGGCAGTGTGCGCGGCGGGAGGGTGTGAGTGGGCTGGGTGGGGAGGGGCTTGGCACGCCGATGCGGGCTGGGCTGGCTGCTGCTGATAAGGTATGCTGGGCGGGGGCTGCAGCCAGCTGACGTCCTGCAGCTCACTTGCAGGTGTTGCCTCCAAGAAAGCCTGCAGCAGGGGACAGAATGGCGTTGCCACAGTTACTGCTGCATTCCAAGCACACAAGCTGGGTGGTGCGAGCAGCTGCAGGCAGGCTGGCAGCTATGCGGCGCCAGCGCCATTTGGCGCCAACGGCTAGCAATCAACCACCGCTCACCGCTGGAGTCTGTGCAGCCGCGGCGCCCGATCAGCTTGATCCACTTGCGGCCACTCCACACCTTGGATTTCGCTGACACGCCTGAGGGGAACGCACAGGGCGGCGGGGAGGGGAGGGCGGCGGTGATGCCGCGACATGCTGGCTGGCCGGCGTGGAGGGCTGCTGGCCCTGGCGCTGCTGCAATGCCCTGCCGGATGGCAAGCTCTAGCCTGCCAATCAAAAGGGCCTGCAAGTAGCTGCCAGCCCAGCTCCACCAGGGTGTTCACCTGAGGCCATCAAGGCCACTGCGGCCAAGGCCAGCAGCCTGATCAGGTGCATGGCAGCTGTGGGGAGTGCCAAAACAAGACGGCAGGGAGGTGGGCCGTGTTAAGGGAGGGGGCTCAAGGTCCCCAAGGGGCGTCCACGGGCTTCACAGGCAATTGTGGCCTGGAGAGCGGCGCAAATCCTGCTGCTTTTTGATTCGGCGCGCTTTTACTTACCTGGGGGCGCGGGGTACCCAGGTAGGGGGACGACTGGTAGGGTAGCTTTAGCCGCATCTCCTCTCTTTCCTTTGTATTTGCTTCTGAATTGGCGTCCCACAGGCAGAGCTGGCGCCAATGCAGGGTCTGGCTGAACTTGTCAGCTGCCGCCCGCCGCAGGGGGCGGCTTGGGCGGAATTCAGGGCAGCCAAAGAAGCAGCAGATCACCACCTGCCGTGATTTTCATCACTCGCCCAGCCATGGCCACCTCTATTACCATGCATGCTAAAGCCCACCCACGCAGTGCTGCGAGGCTGCTGCTGATTGCCTTCACAGTGATTTTGAGTTAAACGCCAGGTGCCGCACCGGAGTGCCGCGGCGGAGGGCACTGGATTCTGAAAGGAGCATGCATTTGCTTACATGATGTCAACAGAAAATATGGGCATGGGTCATGTGTGAGGGTGCAGGTCAGTGGCAGCAGGTTTGGAGGGATTGGGCAGACAACTGCAGCATGAAACCTTCAGGGAGGCAGGCAGGCATCAAATTGCAATTGCCACCAATGTGAAGGCAGGGACGTTGATAGACGTGGACAAGGTCCTGCATCACAGCAATGGGGGTGGCCTCGCTGCACTGGTGACCCGTGCTCCCAACCGCCGGTGCACCCCACACAAGCCACCTCACCCCGCTGGCCGCCCACACACAGCTTCATGCACCCGCAGCTCACCAGCTGGCTCCGATTCCGTCAAAGGACATGGCAAATGTCATGTACTTTGCGCCCTGGGTGGTGACAGAGGCTGTGGGGGAGTCGCAGCCGAACAAGGTGTAGAAAGGAGCTTGGCTAAATAACTCTGAAAACAGCGAGTATACGACGGCATAGCCGGTGGAGGCCTCCACAAGAAAGGGGGCGTGGTCATCGTTGTTACTCAATTGCGATACATGAAAAACTCGTCGTCAAAAGCAAAGCTGACTTCCTCAACGCGGTTGGCCACTGGCGGCCCAGCGGGCCTGTTGAAGGCGTCCACCCGGTACAGGGTGACATAGATGGCATATGTTCCTGCGATCGGAAACTTGATGTACACCCCAAGACGGGTGATGGTGCGGTTGCCGCCGGTAGGCGGCGTCTTGAAGACAAACCCCACCCGGAAAGCCTCCGAGACATTGACAAGCGCGCCAACCCCTCCCTCACAGGCGGCAAAGGAGTTGAAGTTGCGAGCAAAGCCGTTGTTGTCGATGACAAAGCTGCCAGAGCAACGGGGGTGGAGGAGGGTTGGTGGGTGCGTTAGTGCAGATGGAGGGGCACCCCAAACGTTGGCGCTGCCAAGCTCAGCGCCCACTCACGGCTGGGGTGGAAGAGGCCCCATCACTCGCCCCAACCATGGCACCTGCCTTCGACGAATGCTCAGGCATTTTGATTCCATCCAAGCGGCACATGCAACACATTTGGCTGGTCTCCGTGTGGGTGCCTTGATCTCACCTATTGAGGCTGTTCCCAGTGAACTGGATGCCCCATGCTCTTTTGAGCAGTGGTGCACAGTGCGTGCTGCCTGTGCTTGCGTCGCCACCACTAGGAGACCGACCATGCAGGGGTGTGTTACATCATGTATGCTACAACCAGTCATGCCGGCTGCACGGGAGCTCGCTGGCTCCGAATCCGCTCTGTAAGTCAAGTCAAGTCAATTGACTTGCAAGTCAAGGGAGTGCTGCTGCAAAGCAGCGGCCGCAAGCGCGGCTGCGCTAGTGGTGCAGCAGGTGCGTAGCGTTGTGGGGGTGCAGCTGGCAGCAGGAGTAGGTTTCAAGGTCGAAAAAGTCGAGGCTGCGGTGCTGCTGGTAGGCCTGCAGCAGCAGGGCGTCATCAGCGGAGGTGGTGCGGCAGGAAGGGCGCGCGCCCATGGCCGCCAGCCAGCGCCCGACGCTGCCACCCAGCGCCGCGCCCACGTCATAGCCGGTCAAGGGCTGGGCCACTGCATAGCGCTTGAGGAAGGGATACACCATGATGTCTGCCAGGCTGGGCTGGGGCCCCAGCAGGAAGGGGCCGCCGTGCTGCCGCAGCGCCGCATCCAGCCCGGCCAGCTGCACCTCAAACGCCGCCCGCTGCGCCGCCGTCTGCCCGCTGCCGATGCCCCAGTGCCGCGCCGTGGCGCCTGCGGCGCGCACACGTGGCAGGGGAGGGGGAGTTGAGCTCCCAGGCTGCGACCTGCCGCAGGCAGGCGCCAGCTTCTGCAGGCACCCTGCACCTTGGAGCCTCGGGCAATCCCTGCCCCCCCCCGCAGCACCCACCTGCCATCAGGTCCAGCCCCACCGACACAGCGCCACTGCAGGGGCCCCGCAGCAGCGCCTCCATCTGTCGCTGCAGGGGTGGGTCCTGGGGCGTCAGGCTGGGGCCTGCCGCCTGGGCATCCACGTGGCGGCAGATGTCTGCAGACTCCACCACCACGCTGCCGTCGAGCTGCAGGGCAGGCACCAGGCCGCGCGGGTTGACGCTGCGGTACCAGGCGGGCTTGCGGGACAGGTCGATGTGCACCAGGCGGTGAGGCAGGCCCTTCTCCAGCAGCGCGATCCACACGCGCTCCGCATACTGCAGGGCGGGCCGATGGGTGGGTGGGTGGGTGCATGGGTGGGTGAGCGGGAGTGCAGAGCAGAGGAGAAGGCCCGGGGTGCTGAGGAGCACCTCTCTCACCGGGCACAGGCAGTGGGTGTAGAAGACGGTGCCCTGCAGAAAAGGGTTGACGAGGAAGGGGTGTGATCGGGCTGGCAATGGTCTGCAGCATATATGCAGAGTCCCGAGCGTTCCGCACCTCGCGAGGCGGCGCCGCCAGCTGCCACCCTTCCTCAGCGGTGAACAGGGCGACCGCCTGCCCGCCTGGCGTGGCTGCCGCTGCGGCCGTATTGGCCTGTGCTGCGGGTTTCCTCCCCCCTGGCAGGCTCCCCCGAGGCTCTGCAAGCCGCCTGGCGCTGGGGAACGCGCTGCGTGTGGCAGGCGGGGCTGCAATGATCGGCGGTGAACAGTGCATGGTTGGCGATGCGGCAGTTAGCGAAGGAAGGCCTCCCGAGGAGGCCCACAGCACAGCATGGCGCAGCGGGCGGCAGCTTGGCGGGACCCCACGCAGGCTCATGCAGTTCGTTGCTATTGGGGTGGTTGCAACTCATTGTCAGGGACGCGTTCGTTGCGAGAAAGCAAGCTGCTGGAAGCAGAGAAAATCTGGGCCTGACAAGGCGACAGGGCGGCTGTTTTGGCGGCACCCCACAGGCAGAGAAAAGTGGCAACGGCGGGTTCATTGCGACCCATGAAATGGGGAAGGCTAGCGTGCAAAGGTGCAAATTGGGGCGGCGGCAGCGCAGGGAAAAAACGCTGTGCCGTGGTGGGTTGGGTGAGCGTCATCGCCACACAGCAGAAAAGGATGTGGCAGAGAGAGACAATGACTGCAGTGCAACAGCCGGTGTGCAGCGGCAAGGGATCCCATGGCAGTGTATAGTACATCCAGGGAGGACGTGGGACGGAAGTCTGGGCAGTCTGGGGTTGCTGAGCTCAGAAGAAGGAAAACGGGGAGGCTGTGTGTTGGTGGGCAGGGCCTTACGCGGCCTGTGGGGTGATGGCGGGGGAGGCGTCGGCCTCGCTGCCGGCCGCGCTGCCGTTGAGCCCGCCCTCTGGCGCCGTTGACGGCGCCCTCTGGCCCTCGGGGGCCGGGGCTGCTGCCGCAGCCGCAGCTTCCTTGCTGGCCTTCTCCTGCTCATACTCCTTGAGCTGCGTGCCCAGGCTGCAGGCACAGAGCGAAGGCAGAGGAGACGAGGCGTAGGTGGGTGGTGGGCGGTGGGGGTGTGTGGCTCATGCAGGGCCGGCTCACGGGCCGGCGCCATCCTTGCAGAAAGCCCTCAATGCACACATTCGCGCCCCCCCCACACCCCCACACGC